TTCAGTCAGCCAGTTCTTAAACTAATGTGAATTTGGAAAACAGTTTAATGAAAAAAATACCTTGTCTGATGAAATCAGGATAAAAAATCCAGCATACTCAGTAGCAGCAAAGGCTCGCCTGAGAACTTCTGAAAAAAAAAATAATAAATCCTCACCTGCCTGAACCTGACCTGGGATGGCAATGGCTGAAGAGCATTGTAACACCACTGCTCTGGCAGCAAGTGAGATGCAGCAGTGCAGCTCAGAGCAGTATAACAACCTGGGATTCAAAGTTACCTTTACTTGGAGAGGACTTTTGGCCTTTGGCTTCTCAGTACCCTTAAACTGGAGATCTGCAACTAAATTATATATTTGAGGGGGTAGAGGGGGACCAAACAAACATTAGTTCCTCATGACAATGTATAGAAATGGGACCATCTGTCTTTGTGAAATGCTGTCACCAAGACAACTGTGACATCTGTTTCCAATTGGGTAATTAATTCGGGGCAATAACGGCACAAATTTTGTATCATGATATGAAATCATAAGTCTCTTACAAGCTCCTTCATAGGCAGAATAAGCAATTGCTTCCACTGCAGTTGTGGGAAACAGAGAATTCTTGCATCTAGCAGAGTTTCAGCAAGTCCCTGATTTTGGACTGATGGAGCACATCTGGTTTTATGTACCCATGCTTTGCTGGGCAGTCAGGGCTCTACAGGAAAATCCCTGCACTGTTAAAAATGGCAAGGATTTGTGATAATTTAGGGTTGGAAGGAATCAGCAGTTGCAGTCAGGATGAGAAAGAGTATAAAGTACACTTATGTAAAAAATGCAGCGGAAGTTTAATACAGTTTGGACTGGATTTGGCTGTATCTGGTATTTGTAAGTCGCCAGGAATTCAATATTGCAGCTGACTCAGGCATATTTATCTTTCAAAATACGCCAGTTATTACACCATGTAATCTTGGTCAGAATCTTGGGGCATTGGGTTTTTTCACCTTTTTTCATTTGGTTGGTTGGTTTTGGTTTGTGATTTTTTTTTGTTTGGTTGGTTTTGTTTTGGTTGTTTGTTGTTTTCTTTTTTTCTTAAACTGTTAATCACTGGCAGTGGTTGTATAGGTAGAATTTGTGAAATTATGAATAGTTGTTCATACTGGAAATTTATATAACAAATGTATTTAATCCTTTTTCAAATTTTCAGTTAAACCAGTCATGATGATCAGGTGAGCTGTACTGGTTGGTCTGGACTTTCTTCCTGGGCATTCTGCGCATGACCATGTTTTAGGATTAGCCTTGTGGGGTGGTTTTGTGGCAGGGAAGTGGTAATAATCAGTGTAGCCTTCACTGGTGATTCCAGATAATCTGGAGTTTATCCCAGTACAACCAGCAGTCAAATGGAATTTAGCTGCCATTTTTGGCTGTTTACTTGTAGAAATAGCAAGACCACACCTTGAAGGCTTGTATTTACCATTTTCTGGTCTTAAATTCTGAAGTGTCTAATGCTGCTACCAAAGGATCACCAGTACTATTCTGATGGCTCCGTAATTTTCCCCTTTGTAGCCAGTTCTTAGTGTCTGATGGCTGCTACATGTTTAGTCCAGACCATTTGGCTACTATGGTACTACTTTTAGTCCATACAGTAACTTTTCTGATTATTCCAAAAGAAAGAGAATTGATGTCTTGAATTTTGGTAATCTTTATAATACTGATTTAAAAAAAAAAAAATCATCATAAAAATGCAGTATTGGATCATATTATTCAGTCAGAAGAATGTTGCAGAAATAATGCTCCGTTTTAGATGGAGTAACTTGTTAATTCCAGCATCTACACATATATACCGTCATCAGGGAGTTAGTGGGCTACATGTGTTTATTTTTTAAAACATCTGTCAGCTGAGTCAGAAATCTAAATGCAAAGTGTTACACTGGTTATTTTTGTGGATTTCGTACATTTCCTGTTGGAATTTAATTTTGTGTTCTAATCATTGGAGAATATGGGGGTGAAAATAGGATTAAATTTGTGCATATATGTTGTTTCTTTGGACAATTGACTTCCCCCATTCTCCTTTAATTTTCTTACAGCATCAGATATAAGCAAATACATGAGATGCAGTTGTATTAATTTTGGCTCGGGTATCCTGTGTTAACATGGAAAGAGGCATGTCATGTATGTGCGTTTTTTTTGGTTTTTTGTCCCAGTAATGAAATAACAGGCTGTGGAGAGCCTTAAACTATGCTGAACAGTTTCTTGACATGTTGTAGCTGATTCCTGCAGCCACACTGCAAAGCATATTTCGTTGTTGTATATTAAGTAGGCTACAATCCATTTGACAAAATGCTTCACTGCATAGCACTTAGGTGCATTGTATTGACTGTCCCTACAGTTCTGTATTACTGTGTTCACTGTTACCTACTATACAGAAAATATTCATGGGGAACTAGCTTTTGGGCTAAATAAGGCTAAATAACTTTTAACATTTATTTGATACACAACATTAAGATATTTCTAAGCTACTGCTTTAGGCAACTTTGCCATTGTACACTGTTGACCTGTATTCATGATATTTGACATTTTTCATAAATACTGTCAAGGATAATCCATCATAGAACAAGTTTTCAGAGTTTCAGGATGTTTGTTAAACTCTCCTAACTCAAATATCAAAGTGTTTCAGAAAACAGTCTATTTATATTATAATTTATATTTGTAAGTTGAGTGACACGTTTTCCAAGTAAGGAAATTACTAGGGAGTCTGTTTCCAGAAGGACACAGCCATCTTCAGCTAACAGTCTGTGGTCTAGATGAGACCAGGCTACAGCTACCTATTGGCTGAGGTCTGTATGTTTCTATAGGTTGTATCTTTAAATCTCTACCACTTCAGTTTTGGAGTGACCACCATTTTAGTGGAAAAACAAACTATGGAATGAGCTTAGCAGTACTTACAGTATTTAAAGATCTGTATTGCTTTCAAATTGAGCACAGCTTTTGAAGTGATGTAACCGTTCAGACCCGTCTGCTGATCTCTTCTGTGCACAGTCCCTCAAGACTTGTGTCCTTTTCTCTTTTGTTGTTCAACAGCTCTGTAAAGTCAAAGAGAATTCTTTGTGTGGTTTGATACAGCTAATAAGGCAGTCAGAATGCTGAGGACCTTGAAACAACCCAAGAATTGTAGGTTGACTTAAAAATCTCTAGGTAAATGCTCTTCCTGATGGGAAAGCTTTATGAAAAAAGTGAGTTCACTGCAGTGCGTTACCTGAGTAATGCTTAAAGCAGCTGTAGTTCATTCACGTGTTTCTTATAGTTAAATACAGAGATAAACTGTGCACCCTTCTGTTTAACATTCAGTGTAAACTGAATACATAACTAAGTCTTCTGCATGCCTCTGGCATTTTTGTGTGTGCTGTACTATCTCAGCTTCCCTCGCACTTCTCCAGATTTAGACTAATAGGAGAGCACAGTGCAGGCTTGTGGGACTCTGCAGCCTGGGTCTGCTGTTGGGCTGCAGGGTCTACAAGAACACCATAAGCTGCCTCTCAGAGGACAGCCTTGATCTGTTTCATGTTGTAGCCCATCACTATGTTGTGTGCTTGCAGGCACACAAGATCCTCCTGTTGTTCAACAGTAGCAGATAGCACGTGACATCCAACAGAGGAAATGTGGATGAATTCACGTGCCTGTGGATAGGCAGGAGTTCACACACCAGAAAAATGATGGCATGTTGCTGTATATATCATGAGATACTGGGTCTAAGAGATGTTGTAGATGTTGGGGTTTGGGTTTTGTTTGCTTATTATCATGAATGATGGCTCTTAGTGGTGCTGCTTAAACTGAGGTAGTTGTTCACTAAAGAGGTAGCATTTTCAGAGGTTTTGGGGTACTATTGCTTTTTCTAGGCTGAGTGAGAAATTCCTCTCAGCTGAAGGGTGTTGACACATGGTGGTCCTAAATATAGTGGGAAGTACTGTCTTCTGAGGGGATGGAGGCAGCTCTGGTGTATGAAACCACATATACAGTCTGGAAGAGTTATGTGAGGACACTGCTGTTTGCCGAGCAGAGGCTTGCTTCTACAATTAGAGCTTCCTCACACTTTGAAGCCATTGTAGCCATTCAAGAATAGCATTGAAATAAGATTTTTTTTCTTTTCTTCCCATGAATACTTAAGTTTCTAAGTTTCCTAGCTGCTTCTGCCCTCTCTATTTTCCTGAGAGAAGTGGTGGTTTTGTATGTGGCTCGACACAGAGAGATACAGGTGGGGAGTAGTTGCACCACATTCAGAACACCTTTTTGGCACCATTCTTGGGATTTGGACAAGCACAAGCTGTTTGAATCTATCCACTGATGGTCCCATTTGTGTGCAGCAGAATTTTTTTTAATGCATCTGATAAGAGTAATAGACCTCCGGGACAAAGTCTGTCCATCCTGTGTTTCTTACGCAAGGATGAATCTACACAATACTGAAAACTGTATGTGTCATTTGGAAATTTCCTGTGAAAAGCATGGTAAATAGATTTTAAAGTGATAATGTTTAATTTATTCACTGTGCAGTTCTTTTTCTTCCTTCTTGCCCTCCCTAAGCATTTGCTGGCTGTTCCTCACTCTCTTCCTCATCAATCCCATGAATCACTCTAATCCTCATCACTCATTGTTTGCCTGCACCACTACAGTCTACCTTCTACAGTCCCCCCTCTGGCCCCCTTGTTTTTGCTCCCACTCTGTTGCCTTCTTGTCCTGTTCCCTCCTTACTCATTTTAGAGCCTTTTTTTTTTATTATTTTTTTCCCATTTTCTATACCTGCTTTTGTTCCTTCATTTTGCAGGGTTTTGGGTTGGTTTTTTCCCTCTGTTTCATCTCGCCTCTCATTATCCAGGCTGATAATGACAGAGGCACTGCTCTCTCTCTGCTTAGCCTGTGTAGTGGACTAACTTGTTAAAGGTTTAAAGAGAAAATGTCTTCGCTCTGAATGGATCTTCATTTAATGATTGCAATGTGTTCTTTTTAACAAGGTATTTTTGTTATTATTTCAGGTCTTAAAAATTAGCTTAATTGGCCACCGGAAGCGCGTTCTGGCATCTTTGGGAGATAGGCTTCACGAAGACCCTCCTCAGAAACCACCTCGGTCAATAACCCTCAGGGTGAGTTCCCATGAAAATTTTTTTTGCATTTCTTGAGGAGTCAGCAAGCATTTCGTAACATTCACATGAGAACAACTGCTTCGAGTGGCATTCAGCTTACTTTACTTCAGAAGTTTACAGTGTAGATGTCTTAGGCTGACCTGCTCAGTCGCACCTCCCAGTACACCCAGCAGAGATAAACTGACATTTTTACAGGGTGATTCATCTGACCTGCTTCAAAAGTCTATCTTAGGATGAGATAAGAAATATCTTAGAAGTGCCAGCTTATCTTCTTTGCTCAAGAAACTATCTCAGGACCAGGTGTGTACAAGCTGCACATTTGCATTTGCCCACAGGAATCCCAGCTCAGCTAATCAATATTGAGGAAGGAAACATACTATTTTCCTTTCATTTTTTCAAATGCTTGCACTTATTTTTCAGACAAAGCTTTATGCTTTCTTTAAAGAGACCCTCTTGAAATTGTTGAGCGGCAAATGCTATTATGCTGTGTATCAAAAGTTTTGTCATGTTTTTAATTTTTATTTCTGTTCCCTTTTTCAGAAACCTTGTTACAATGTCCCTGGGTTTTTTCCACATTTCACTAGATTTAGTCTCCTCTCATTACACCTCCATCACTTGTTTTCTCTTATCTAATGCCTTTGCTTCCTTGCTGCCTGTTACCCTTATTGAGTTGTGGTCTGACAACTCTTTCCTGCTGTGTTGTCTCCAAGGGAGTTCATATCAGCATTTCTTATTTTGATATTTTAGGTCACACCTTTTGTATTTCATTGGTTCTGGTTATTTTTGTGGGGCTGCATTTCTGACTGGAATTTCATTTGGGACAAAATTTCCAAATGTCAGAGAGTGTCTGTGCTCCTAGCTTAAATTTCCTGGTGTAAAGAGAAATAAAGACAGACAGAATGAGGGCTTATTCTTACATACACTTACAATTTTGTGACCAGCCTGTTTTCACCCTGCTTATTCTCAGATGCCACATACAGATATTTTAGATCCCCCCCTAAATTCAACCTATTCCTAATGCCATGTTGAAAAAGGTCTCACAAGTCTATAACATCCCGCTCTAAGGCACATTGCACAAATGTGGATATTTTTCTTGTATTTTATTTTTTATATATAATGTGAACGAGTCGTGATGCATGGCAGGTGTTAACAACACTCCCAGGAAAGGAGGAGTCATTTGAAAGTCGCATATTTTTGCTCAGTACTTGCACTGCTCTGGACTAGAGAATGAGCAGATGGGAAAGTTTCCACAGCCCATGCTACAGGTTAGGACTGTATATTTCCAGTTAATAGAGAAGAGAAAACTGGATGTCCTCTATCTGTAGTCAAAATGATAAAAAGTAGTCTGCTGTTCCACCACTGTAGCTACTGATGCAGGCAAGTGCTAAATGTCATTCATCATCTTGTGGTATTGGAGTCTTCACAGAGAATCCTAAAGAGAAGGACATTAATTTGGATTAAGGTTTTCTTTCCCATCAATTGTTACTATGCCATTTCACTCAAAATGAGAACATAGTGTTTCGTCTGTAGTTTGTAATAATTTTTAGCTTGAAAATTGTTTTAAATAAGATGTCTGTTGCTATTAGAAGGCTGATTTATGTAGAATCATAGAATGGTTTGGGTTGGAAAGGACCTTAAAGGTCATCTAGTTCCAGCCTCCCTACCATTGTTAGGAACACCTTCCACTAGATCAAGTTGATCTAGATCTATAGAAAAAAATAGTTTATTGTTTAAAAAGTCTGCCCTTAAGGTCCCAAGCTCAACTAAAGTATGGCTAAGACTTCATCTTTTTCAACTCTTTTTATATTAGCTTTTAAAATATTTCAAAGGAAAAAATGGTTAAATACTGAGGAAAAGCAACAAACATTAAAAATATTAATGAAATACGTTATTCCCATAATAACTGCATACTAAGGAAAAGTTATTTTGATTTCAGAGTCATAGACTTGAAAGTTAGAAAATGCTGGATCTCAGGTTACCTAATGCAATCGTGCTTTCCTTCTTTGAGTGCGTTATAATCTTTCCCTCTCCTCACCCAGTCAGCACTGGAGGCTGGAATTTAAACTGAAGGAACAAGAGTGAAAATTTGGAGAAGCGTTACAATAGTAATGATACTTTAATACAAGAATCAATTCATTAGAGAGAATTTCTGGTTTTAGAAACTAGCTAGACAAACGTGTGGAGCATGAGGTGTACCTGGGAAGCCTGGGGAATGGTCCCTTAAGCTCCCTTCCAGCCCTAACATGTGTGGTTCCAGCTTTTCCTGACTGGTAGGACTGAGAGGTGGGGATGAAGCAGATTTCAGTAGTGAAATACACAATCAGGCGTCCCTGCAGGGCATGTATTCATGCATTTACAACAGGGTAGAAACAAGATATGAATACCTGGTGATTAACAGTAGCATAGTGCTGAGGACATAGCATCTCAGTGCATCATAACACATGATAGGACCTGCTTGGGCATCCATGCCTGGTTTGTGGATTTGTTGACAGAATGACAAAGTGGTGTGAAGTGAGAAAGAGCAATGAAGGAAGAATGGGAGAGAGACTCGTGATTAAAGGCATAGCTGTAGCTATGAAAATACAAATTTACACTTGCTTTTGCCACAGAGCCCTTGGATAACACTTGCTAAGTTATTTAGGTAATTGTCTCATAAGCAGTCACTAATTGTATGTTACTGACCTTCTGCATGTTTGACTGGAGTCTGGAGTCTGATTTAGACAAGTGCTGAGCACACAGTGCTGCAAATTAGATCAATAGGAGTTTTGAATACAGGCACTTGGAAAATCAGCCAATAGCTGTTCTAATTGGGCATCCGAAGTGACTGGTATTTTTTTAACCTTTGTCTGTGTGTCTCCGGTCCCCTACACTAAAGTGGTGATTATAAAATGCCAGAAGTCACAGGGTGTGGTGAAAATAAATTGTTTGACATTGGTAAAGCACTTATGAACATCATGAAAATGATGGTATTAGTCATTCTATCTTCAGAGGAGAATTTGAATAGAGTTTAGGGAAAGGGTTTGGGGCCACGAAACGAGGTGAGAATAAAGTACTGACTATACAATAACTAATGATAACACAGTACTGAGCATATGACAACATGCTGCACAGTTGAGGATCCATCTGTGCTGTGAAGGACAACGTTGAGAAAATAGCATAAAACCATACAATTACATAGTGTTCCATAATGTAGCAGCACCATAATTCTTTTATTTCTTGACTTTGTATTCTTGTCTGTATTGCCTTGCCAGAAATCTTCTGATATAGATCTCTGACTGATTTTTCTCTTTATATGCAGTTTGATAAAATATGAAAAGCTCAATGAGAGCTGGAATGTGTATGTCTATTGTACAGTCATCTGTCATTTTGATGTGCTGATGGCCCTATCAGTCTCTTAACAGTGAGTGAATCATGATTCAGAGCAGAGAGAGGTGACCTGCATGGCTGGGGTGGCAGGTAGCAGTCCTTAGAAAGGATCTCATTTGGTGCCCCTGTACTCCGGTTATTTTCAGGGCAGAGGCATGTGCACCCTATAGGCGGAGTTGGGCCCAGGAAGGGTACGTGTTAGAGGTTGTACCTCACCAAACCTTCTGAGCTTGTGCAGACTACAGCTTTTCAGAAGCTTTTAACTGGGCCAAATGTAGGTGGATTTTTGTGAAGGAGGGAAAAAGACTATTCCTAAGAGGAAAACACTCCTTTCTTTGCCCTAGGAAATGTCAAGTGCTTGTCTCAGATCATACGAAAACTAGAGAATTGAAAAACAAACAAAAAATCCCAGCTGATTAAAAGTTAACCATCCATACTTCCCTGATTTTAGTCAACTGACATGGAAAATGCTAACCCATTATTGTGATTGCAAGGAATAATATCACCTAGACTCCTACATTTCAAATATTAACATCAGTTGTTACTATCACTTAAACACATATAAAGAATTGCACCTATCCTTTCAATTTGGGAGAGATTACAGCTCTCTGATTTCTTACACCAGATCTTGTTTCTTAACAGCACGGAGTAAAGTATCTTGACGCTTTTCAGAATTAGTTTTACTTCAGTGTACTCAGGCATGAAATATCCTCTTTAATTCTTTAAATGAAAAGCAGGAGTTTTTTACCCTCCATGCACACTGAAGCAGGGCTTTGCTTCCTCTAATTTCTTCAGGTTCCTTCCTGTTGTTCAATGTTGAAATAGAGTATTTCAGCAGTAGGTAATTTAGACGAGGTCTGCGCTGTGCAAACACACTCCTGTGTACCTTCTGCCTCCAGAGAGCTTACTATCAGAAAAATCTCTAGTGTCCAAGAAATTGAGCCCAGTAACCTACATCATGAGAGAGGAACATGTTTCCTCATGCAGGTGCTATGATAGCATTTTACAGTCCACACTAGAGTGGTATGTGTGCAGACTGGCTGGCCAGCACACTGTAGTTCTGCTCCTGCTGGTTGCAGTCACCAGGACAGTGTGGAACAATGGAGCTGGGCACCAGTGTTTGGAATTGGTGTTTGAAGAAGTGATGTGATGTGTAGGAGAATAGGTGTCTCCAAACATACATACGGTGTCTGTCTGTGAGCAGTGTGGTGACAGATGCCTCTAAAATGGATGGTCATGAGGACGTGTTTTTGCACACTGACTGATGCAAGTTTACAGCTCAGCACAGATTACAAGAAAATCCTACTAATATATTTGTACTTTGATGCTTTCATGCATTCTAGGAATTGTTATTTAGGTTGCTTCTAATATCCAGTACTTCAGGTTAAACAGATGTTCTGCAAGACCTAAAAAATTGCAAACAAAGTGTCTGTATTTTATAAATGTTCATTATTTTCTTTTTTCCAGCAAGTGATGTTGCTAGAGTTCAAATCACTTTCAAATCACTTTCACTGCTCAGAGTGGCTGCTCAGAAGTGGTGAAAATGTATTTCATCTGACAAATAGCTAGTCCTGAATCATTACTTTATTTGGGCCTTGACAGGAAGTAACTTGCTGTTTTATCTCTCTAGCAGTCCTAGAAGGGAATATGTGTTACACAAAGAGGTTTTGGAGAGGGAATTTGCCACTAGTTCAGGTAAATATTGAATTATTTTTCCTTCCATGTGGGCTCTGCACCCTAGGTGGCAAACCTCAGATGTAACTCTCTGCTCTCCTCTACTTCAGGAATTGTTTCTTATTTTTCTTAGTATGAATAATTCAAATACACTTTTGAACATATGGTTTGAAGTTAGCAATATGTTGTTCTTCTTATGTGGAATTATTCTTCTCTCTCTCCAGGAACCCAGTGGTAACCACACTCCTCCTCAGTTGTCTCCATCACTCAGTCAAAGCACTTTCACTACTGGTGGCTCCCTGGACGTTCCCCACATTATCATGCAGGGCGATGCAAGGAGGAGAAGAAATGAAAACTATTTTGATGATATCCCCCGGTCAAAGCTGGAAAGGCAGATGGCACAGGTAGGGTTAAAACGATGCCATTAAAAAGCTGTGTCTTGCTGCAGTTGGTTACAGGACTAATCCTAATCATAGCTATGGGTCATACAAGAAGGCTAAATTGTAAATTACAAAGACTGACAATTTTTCCGAGCTGTCTATTCCAGTTCTCTATATTTCAAATAGTGTAAATTGGTGTGCTGGTTCTCCTGAGAGGTAGAGTTTTGGGGGTTGTTTTGGTGCCTGGGGGCTGAGATGAAGGTGCCTTCCGTGCACCAGAGCATGCAGACTCCCATGGGCACTGGCTGGACCTCTCATTTCTCTGAGAAGGTGAAGATTCCTCAATTTCTGAGAAACCTAGATAAAAATAAGCTGACATCAGATCACTGCCAGAAGCAGAGGACGTGGGGAGTGGTGATTTCTGCATTTATTAATGGAGACTGTCAGCATTCTACTAAATTTTGTGATCTGGGCATATATCTTGAGTGTTTCAAAAAAGATTTAGCTGTGCAACAACTCATTTGAGCATCACAACAGCACTAGACTGAAGTGGATGTTCAATCAAATCCTTCATGAAAGAAAGTCAAAGTAGCCTCCATGTCTAAATTTTTCCAACCAGTCACAGGAAGAGTAGTGATAATTTTACACTGCATATGTTGACCAGAGTGATGTCTTGTACCATTCTAAAGGGCAGTAAATTTAAGCTTGGACAGCCTGTTGACCAAAATGCTTTAGGAAGAACTCATCTGGTTATTGGTGTACATACAATGAAAGACAGCCAGGTCTTAAGCCATGCTGTCCTTTGCAGTGCATGTTGCAAACAGGGCTTTGATTTGCCATCAGAAGCAGATGGGCAGCCAGTGTGGTTCCCGGAGCGACTCACTCTGTGAAGTAGCAGGTTGCTGCATGCTGCCCTGCATGAGGCTTCCCAGCACTTCTTCGCCTGCCATTGCACAGTACAGAGTCTCTATCCGAAATTCAGCCTCAAAATAGAAACAACTATGCAAATAAGTGCGTTATGGTTAACCTGCAGTGTCTCAGCTAATTTCATGAACATTCATGACATTAGTAAATTCATGGACATCAGTTCATTTCAAGAAGTAATAAAATAAACAAGCAGAACAAGGTGCTGCCATTACCTGGAAACACAGAAACAAATTGAATTCCATTTATTCAGAGGTCATTTCTAGGGAAGTGAAATTGCATTTGGTTAGATGGGGCTGTTTTCTTGCCTTTTTTTTATCTCCTAATTTTCTGCTATATAATCTTATTGTACAGAATTAAGGGGAAACTTACCTAGCGAATGAGCTTGTTTTCAAGCCAAAATCTGTTGGGCTTTCATGGCAAGAAGAATGTTGAGCTGAAGTCCAGCAAGGAAAAGCCCAGTTCCTATGATTAAACTGTTTCTTTGAAGGTCATGAAATTTAGGTATTTGAGCATGAAATACACATTTACCCATGGCTCAGTACACTGGTTCATCTACTTAGTTTATTTTATCACTTGGTTCACAAATCCCTATTCTCACTTCCTCTTTTAGTCACTAACAGTGAATAAGAAAAACACCAAGCACAAAACAACTCAAAATAAACCCATATTAGCAACTCTTCCTGTCTTCTTTTCACTTTTTTGCTGTTGAAGTCCTGGTATTCCCAAGAGGTATGACACGCTCTCATATATGGCACCTGGAGATTTTCTTTGGGCTGTTAAAAACTGCTTTTCCAGAAGGACTGTGATATGTTGCATATCCAAAGAGAATACTGAGCAGTTAGCACTTACACCAGTCCAAAACACTTTAAAACCAATTAACTGCTCAGATGTTTTTGTGGGCTTTTTGTTTGTTGGGACTTTTTTATTTTGTTTTGGTTTTTTTCCTTGGTGGGAATGTGTACCCACTGAATGAATGACTTCAGTGCCTTCTCTCTAACTTTCACCATGGAATATAGCAGTCATCCTCTGGGACTCCAAAGGGGAAAATAGATTCAGATTAAATCCATAAAACAGTGTTTTGTGTTAGTCCCTGAACTTGAATCTGTTTGGAGTCTTTCTCGGCTCTGCCCCCAAATTGTGCACTCTTGATGTATGTAAAATTCCCTTTGACTTTAATGGGAAAGTCAATGACTCCCTCTGGTGATCATTCTCACTAAATTGGACTCACCCCATTAAGAGGCTAATCAGGGATTTCTTCAAGCATTCTAGCCCAAAAATAGATTTTTTTTTTTTTTTATTTTATTTTTTTTTGCAATAGGTGCTTTGATAAAATCATCTACATTTCCTCCAGTCATTTGCCCCACAGCTGCTTTGAAATTAAAGATAAAATAATTGTTTCTGGAAAATAAAGGAGATCCAACTGATGCTTAACATGAGCCTTCTGCTCCTTTTTCTTTTTTTTTTTTTTTTTTTTTTTTTTTTTTTTTTAATATAGCATGTTCCTCCTTGCAGCTTGCAGGTTCCTTTGGCTTATATCAGATCAACAACAACTTCTGGGATGATACCAGTCCATCGTTCCAGCTAGAATACTTCTCACAAACTGAATTATCTAGCGGGTTTATTGGAATAGCTTTGAGGATGTTTTCTTAACCCTTTCTTTGCAAGGCTGTTTGCATGTGGCTGTATGAATGTGCATGGTTACTGGGTGCTATAGTCAATGGGTGCACATAAAGACGGCTTTGATGCTGTGATTTTTTTTCAAAAGGTGTGTTCTTGACAATGAGAATAATGGGTATTTTTATGGCCTTAAAAAGAGAGAGGACAGCACAGTATTGAGAGCCTATTCATGGTACTGATTTCATGAACTTGATTTTATTTTGGAAATGTAAGGGTAAGACTATTTTTAGCCTCAGTTTAAAATCTAAAATCTGAAGATTTTTTGAGGAAATGGTATCTGATGTTTCTATCTTTACTATGGCCCATGTTTTCACATGGGAATCATCAGGCATGTTGATCTTCAGATATCAACCAGAGTTTGTTAAAACAATGAGCACATCAATTTAAATCTGTTTTCCTTTAATCTAATTAATGAGTTTAAACAGTTCTCTAAACCATCATCAAATCTGCTTGTAAGTAATACAACACTTTGTTTCCTGGAGGAAGTACTGATTTAAATTTACTAAATGTGGGTGGTTTTGTCTTAACGCCAGCATGTACCTTCATTCACTGTTTCCTAGCAGACTGTTTGCCACCTAAGAGGGGAAAATCCTAATACAAACAATGAGTCTAACCAGTTTAGATCCCCCACTGGAATAGGTTTGGTCATCCAACTCTCCAGTTGGTTGTCCAACTTTGAAGATCTTTGGCATCTGGTTGGATAAATCACAACTGCCAAAAAGGTAGTACAGAAGGTTGTGAGATGGTTTGGTTTTTTGTTTGTGTTTTTTATTTTTTAAAAAAAAAAGGGAAAAAGAAAAAATAGAAAAAGGATTGTGTAGTCTGAGTCATCTTTGACTGTGGATGTTGGATTCTGAACCTGCAAACTGTAAATTAATATGATCAAATTAATGTGGTATTAAACACCTGAAGTTGTTTTAAGATTGCCTAAACCTTTAAAATAGAACTGAAGTAATTCAGGCAAAGCCTATGGACTTTGGAAACAAACTCAACAGGAGGAATCCCATTGAAGGGATTGGGCTCTTCACCCCTGAAGTCATGGCGTGGGGACATATGTGTTTGCAGGGAGGAGCTTTGGAGATTAAAAGGAAGCATAGCCAAATTCATTTAAAATACACCAATTAAAATGTCAGGGAGGTTCAGGGAGCACCTCTGCTCATCATGCCACTCCTTGCAGAAGCAGATCTGGGTCAGGCATCACCCTGATGCTGACGCACACTCTCCCCACAGGGCTGAACCTGCTGCGCCCCCCGAGATGGGAGAGGTCTGTCATTTCAGGAGGCAGTGGGCGGGTGCCTCTTCAGAGCTCTGGGGAAAGCTCCAGGCTGTGTCTGCCTCTGGGAGAGAAAGCGGATAATGAGTCAGAGGGAGCTTTCTGGTAGGATAAACCTAGTCATGGCTCATATGGGGAGCACCTCAGTGGGCTGTGATGGAAGGAAGAGAATCCTTTAAGATCTCAGAGAGTTGGAAAAATTATTCACAAAGGCTGGCAGGTGTTCTTCTCCAGAGATGCTGAACCCAAACTTAATTTTGAAAGCCTTTCTGGGTTCTTTGGTCCCATGGTCTGAGGGCTCCTTTTTTTTTTTTTTTTGACTGAGTCGTAAATTGGAAATAAAGCTGCCCTGATTGTGAGATTCTGGCATGTAACATTATTTTGTGAGAGACAATAATTCATTGCAGGATTAGGATTGATATGCAGGAGACAGACATTTAAATGGAGTTAGTACCAGAGATCCTTTATCTACAATAGAGGAAAAGTGTAATGAAAGCAAGACACAGAATTTGTGAAGGCAGGTTTATAGGAAAATTGTGAAATAATTTTTCTGCTTTCTGAAATAATACCTTCAACTCAATGTCATCTTCCAAATACTTCACAGATACGAATGTGTTTGTATTTCTGGTGTGCTGTGGGACTATGTGCTTTAAAATTATGTTTTTCACTTTACAGCTAAGAAAACCGAGGAACAACATTGTTTCAGTTTAGCTAAAATGACACTGAAAGTTTGAAGGAGCCAAAAATAAAGCTTCTGTCTCATAAGGCCTACCTTCATTTTTTTAACTTTTAACTGCAATACGACTTTCTTTGATTTCCTCGTTTCCTCTTTGTTTTCCTGTCTCTTTCTCTGATTTGAAAGGATTTAATGATTATGGTAAATGGAGGAAAATACACCCAGGAGAATATTAATGTATAGGATGAGAATAGTCTAAGAAGCAATGAAGAATGGATTTTATCAAAGGTTGAAATTACTGGTGAAATGGCAGAATTCTTTACTAGTAGGTTGAAAACACAATAAATACAAAAATATATTTGAATACATTATTTCATTCTGTTGTTATTTCTAAGGTTTCTTACTTCTATTTTATATAAACATAAAATAGTATATGTTGTGAGGATGAATAGACAGCTTTTTTAAAGACAA